CTGCACCGCGAGGAGCGCGCAGGCAGCCTCAGTCAGGGGCGCGCAAACATGGATTAGCGATCCATGGATTTGGCGCGCGGCCGCCAAATCCATGGATCGGGGGAGGCGCCCTCCCCAAAAAGGCGGCCGGTGCCGCCTCGTTCGGCGGCGGACATCCGCGATTTCCCATGGAAACGGGACCCGTCGCCGATCCACGCCCCCTCGATCCATATTTGCGATCCCCCAGGCACCCGAAGCCGCTGTACTCGCAGGCTGTGCGGAGCAGTGCACACTGCCGAAGGGGGGATGGTGTCGGGGGCACATGGGAGAGGCACGGCCGGCGTCAGACGGGCGGCAATTGGAGGGTCAACACCCACGGAGCACAGGATTCCTTCCCGAAGAAGACACGGGGAGACGTGAGAGCCCAGCTGTGGGGACCCGAGCCTGTCTCACGGGGCAGTCTGGAGAGGGACGGGGTCTGGCCCGAAATCTGACGCGAGCTCCCGCCGCAAGCGTCTCACGCAACCTGGAACGTCAAAGGTCATGCCGGGATCGTGGAGGAAAGACGGGGGCGGGCCCGAGGTCAAGCTGGAGTCCTGTATCTTCCCGAGAGCAGGGCCCGTCCCTCGTCTCAGCGCCCCAGCTGCACTGTGGGCTCCTGCATGGGCAGACTGCCCCTCCCCCTCACCTCCCTCTCCCTCTCCCTCCCTCCCTCTCTCTCTCTCGCTCTCCCTTGCAGAGCCGACGCCCAGCACTCGGGGCATCCTCCAGGGCCGCTGGCTCCCATAGATTCCCGCTTTCTCCTCGCCCGATGGATGCTGCTGGGAGAGCAGAACGCGGCATGAACACAGACTTTTTGGAAGCCCGCGCGGACTTCTCGGATCCGCGCTGGGCCCCGCGCCGGGGGCGGCGCCAGAGGTGCCGCCAGGGAGCGCCCAGCGCGGACCCAAGAAATCCGCACGGGGCGCTGACAGTCTCTGCTTCTGGCGCTTGCTCCTTCTGCGAGCTGTCCTGGGGTGCGCTCTGACCGGGTGCCCGAGGCGAATCCGGCGGCGCCGACGACGGAGACCCGGAAGGCCCCAGGGAGGGGAACACCCGAGGGGAGGGCCGAGCCATGGGTGCCTCCCCCTCCTCGGAGGCTCTCGCCTCCTCCTCCTCCTCCTCCTCCTCCTCCTCCTCCTCCTCCTCCTCCTCCTCCTCGCCCGAGGCTGGCCTCGGCCCCGGCCTCGGCCTGGGGCGAGGGGCGAGGAAGCTGAATGGGGCCCCGGGACACGCGAGTAAATACTTGTTTGATTCGCGGGTCGAGAGCGATGCACGAGCAAATGCGCACAAGCTACAGGCTTCCCCCCCTACTCTCTCCGGCATCTTCGGGGTCTTGTTGCCTTCCCCCCCCCCGCTTCCCACAGCCTCCCATCTCTTGTCCCGGGCATCGACGAGGACTTCTGCCTGGGTGCTCTTGGGTCCCTCTGGAGCCCACTCTGTAAGAACGGTTTTTTGAAGGCAGATCTGCCTTCAAAAAATGGTCCACTCTGTAAGAACGGGTTTTTGAAGGCAGATCTGCCCTCAAAAAACCGTTCTTACAGAGCAGACCAGTCTGTCCTCCTTGCGGGTCTCGCCCGAGGGGCGACGGGGCGAGGCGGCGGCGGCCGAGGCGGGGCGGGGAGGCCGAGGGCGGGGCGGCAGGCGGCCGGGCGCCCCGGCCCCCCCCTGGCCTCCCCCCCCTTGCAAAAGCGTCGCGCTCCCCGCGCGCGGTGGGAGCGCGTACGCGAGCCTGACGGGGGGGGCCCCCCCCCCCCCCCGGGCGCCTCCGGGGGGGGGGAGCGGCCGGGAGGGAGGAGAGAGAGGAGAAGGGCAGAGACGCGGGTAGTGGGGCTTGAACGGAGGGGCGGAAGGGCAAACGCAAGGGGAGGGGGCGGGCGGCCGTGAGGGTCACGGAGCGTCCGCACCCAGGCACGGCACTCGGCGTTCTTCGTTCTCGTTTTGGCTCTTTCTTCGTTTGCCCGCGTGCTGTCCTCGACCCGCCCTTGTGCCGCACGGCGAGGTCGAGCCGAAGACGGCCCACGAAATGGCCACAAACACCGTCTACGTCCAGCCCTGGCGTCCATGAAGGGGGGCGCGCCAAGCATGGCTGGCGGCACGTGCGTGGCCCCGGGGGTGGGGGGTCGGGGACGTATCGAAACGAGAAAAAGGCGCCAGGAGAGATGGGGAGATATCGTGGCCGCCGTCATGATAGCCGCTCCCCCCCCCGTGTCATCACCCTCTCTTGGCCGCCCCCGACCTTGGGTCGGGCACGTCCTGCAACAGGCGGAGGTTGGTGGAAGATAGGAAAAAATCGTGCCCAGACTATTTTCTCACTATTGTTAAACATGCCTCCTGCAAAGGGACATGCCCGATTTGACACTGACCCCTGTGGAGACGATGCCGAGAGCGCGGGACACATATTCCACGTTGGAGAGCCCAAGCACCCCCAAGGGAATGCAAACCTCTCTGGGGCGGGGACTGTCCTCCTCCTCCCTCCCTCCCTCCCTCCCTCCCTCCCTCCCTCCTCCTCCTCCTCCCCTCCTCACCTCCTCCTCACACGCACTCCTCCTCCTGCCCCTCCCCTCCCCTCCCTCCCTCCCCCACCTCCCTCTCTCCGCCCTCCCTCCCTCCCTCCCTCCCCCGCCTCCCTTCGTCCTCCCTCCCGCCCTTCCTCCCTTAGACCTCCCTCCCTCCCTTTCCTCCCTCCCTCCCACTCCCTTCCACCACCCGCCGCCTCCGCCTCCATCACCCCCTCCCTGCCCCGCGCTCAGCCCGCCTTCCGCTCAGCAAGGAGCGCAGCACATTGCTCCTCCCTCCGTCCGTCCTCCGAGCGGCGCGGGATAGCTCATTCGGCCGAGCTCCGTCCTCCCTCATTTCTACTTCAAAAACTCTGGCCTCCCTCTTCCCTCCTCCCTCTCCCTGCCTCCCTCCTCCCTCCTCCGCGCCCTTCCTCCCTCCTCCCTCCTCCTCCTCCCTCCTCCCCCTCCCTCCTCATCCTCCCTCATCCCTCCCTCCCTCCTCCCTCCTCCCTCCTCCCTCTCCCTCCTCCCTCTTCCCGCTTCTCCCCTCCTCCTCCTCCCTCCCTCCCTCCGCCCTCCTCCCTCCTGCCCTCGCTCCCATCCTCCCTCCTCCCTCCTCCCTCCGCCCTCATCCTCCTCCTCCTCCCTCTGTCACCTCCTTCCTCCTCCCCTTCATCCCTCCTCCCTCCTCCCTCCACCCTCCTCCCGCCTCCTCCTCCGCCTCCTCCTCCTCCTCCTCCTCCTCCTCCTGCTCCTCCTCCTCCTCCATCCCAGGGGAGCCGAACAGAGACGTCCCTGTCTGGAGAGCAGCCCCCCTGAGCTGTGGCGAGACATCGGGGGTCCTCTTCGTTCGCTCGCCTCTCATCGAGTGTGCGCCCTGACGGCCCGCAGGCGTAAGCCACGCCCAAGAGGGGGAAGAGGCGAGGGCCAGGTCGGGAGACGACTGCACACGGCGCCCTGGGCGGACCCGTCTGCACCAGCTCTGGTCACTCCTGCGCATCGTTTTGCCAGTGGCTTCCTTATCGCACGCGTCCTGGCACATACTCTTTCTACTTCTCATACGTCCCCCTCCTCATCGACGCTGCTTTCATGCCATCAGTGTCAATGTCGCTATCAACCTCGGTTCGTCCATGCTACCTTCGGTTATCCAATGGTACTCCCTTATCCTGCTGCCAAACGTCCCTTGAAGCTTACGCGGCAACTGCACCCTTGACCCTCTCCCCACCCATTGTGAATACGAATCTCGCATTCGCTTTTCTGCATGCGGCATCGATGGCGCTGGCCTGTGCACGGAAGCCAACGCAATCAGAAAGGATTACATGGATGTGCTATTGCATATATTATGCAACATTGGTTCCGCTGCTCTGCGAATGCCCCTGCCATCCTGCCTGATTCACAGCCTGCGTCGACTGATGACCGTGCCCAGGACAATATACTCGTCATTTCCGTCCGTCCAAAGCAATAACTACAAAGTGGGGCGCGCACTCCACGCATCACCTACCAACACGAATGCCTCTCACGGCCTTGAGCCTGGTGTCGAATCGAATGCCGAGAACTCGAGCTTAATCCCGAGATACTTTGGCACGAACAAAATGAATGTGTTCGAGCGATCCCCACCCAAGAACGCGAGGCGAGATACCGAAGGAACACCGAGGCACTTTAGACCCTGCGGCCGCAACATACAATCAATCTTAATCAAAGACGGACAACAACACTCCAAAAGAGCATTGGCCCACGTTGGGCCTGACGGCCGCGGTATGAAAGACGTGGAAGGCGGCTCGGGAGCTAACAACCCCAACAACTCGGGTGCGGAAAAACGCATTCCCGCAAACGACATCGAAGCGGAAATGACGGCCCGCACGGTTACCGCTGACACTCGTGGGACCCCGTGCGGTACGGAACAATCCACCAAGGACGGCTGCGGCAGATTCGAGTCGTGCGGCCTTGCGCGTTGGACTGTGGCACCGCGCAGGTCACTCGACCCTGCACGATCGCGATGTTCGTTAGAACAGATCCGCCCGGATCTAGGCCGCCGTCAACGGCCAACCTTGAACGGCCACGCTGGGGTTGCGGCCACGTCGCCACGACACGAACCGACCGTGACCATTGCCGTGCCCTCCCAGGCGCTCGCAAGTCACACCGACCTACAGACGTCCTGCTGCCAGAGGGCACGCTGGACAGGGAACGCGGGTGCAGTCCTGGCCACGGCGAGCCTCGGCAACGAATAGGCTCTGGGGGTCCGGGCCCGAGGACGGGCCCGAAATGCAGAGTCCCTCCGGGGCCCAATAGAGTGGCACCTCTTTCAGCGTCTGGACTGCAGACGTGGGAACTCGCCACCGCTCGGACGCCCATTCCCCGTGCGCTTTCGTTCGGCCTCGTGCGTGTTTTCTTCTCGCAGGATGGCCCCGAGTGCGTCCGAGCGATGCCAAGGGTTAGGTCGGACATGTCCCCCCACAGGCGGATTTAGGAGAAAACATTAAAAATAGCAAAAAATGCTCAAGCATCGTCCCCATGCTATTTTTCCCCAATCAGTGCTTGCACTGAAGGGGTCCCAGCGGAAGTTGAAGGATTTGGCGAAAATTCCCGCCGATTTTGGTAGCAAGCTGGGTTCCCGGGTTCCCGGTTCCCGGTTCCCAGGATCCTGGTTATTGGCATTGGTTCTGGGCCGATTTCGATGGGCTCTGGGTTCCCGGTGTCCTGGTCGATCTCCTCAGCGAAAACCATCCACTGAGTGGGGTTTTCCTCTAGTGTAATTTTGACTGTTTTGGAAGAATCCTCCTGTGGAGGGACAGGCCCGACTCAATCGCAGGACGGCCCAGAAGTGCGCCCGAGCGATGCCGAGGGGAAGCCCCGGGGACGGCAGACTGCCCCCCCCGCGCGCCGCGGACGGCGCCGCCCTCGTGGGGCTGGGGTGACTGACCAGAAAAGGACCCCTAAGCGTTGGGGTGGAAGAGGAGGAGGAGGAGGAGGAGGAGGAGGAGGAGGAGGAGGAGGCGGGAGGAGGAGGAGGAGGAGGAGGAGGAGGCGGAGGCGGAAGGAGGGGGCTGAGGAGGAGGAGGAGGAGGTGGAGGAGGAGGCGGAGGAGGAGGAGGCGGAGGAGGAGAGTTAGGAGGGCCAGAAACAGTAGGGATGGGGGTATGTATTTTGTTCGGCAGGTGTATCGAACCAAACCGTTCAGAACTTATTGCCCCTAATGCAAGGACGGGGGCCTCAGTGAGGCTACATCTTCATCGTGTCCTTACGATGGAGGCCAGTCCACAAGAAACCTTCCACAAGAAACCCAACCCTGAGACCCCAGGACGTCCATTGATTTTTTGGTGTGGGAACGTCACGCTTTCCATGGCAACACCGTCGACGCCCAAGAAACCCCATGCACCCTGGAGGCAAGCAGGGTGCTTCTTGGCACGGGTTTCCACTCTAGGCTTCGGGCTTCTCTTGTCCTCGATGGGGAGGGGTCCAGCGGCTCTGGGCCACGCTCGAGGGGCTCCCTTCAGTGAGCCTCCAGGGCGCGAGCCCTTCAGGCAAGGGGTCCTGGCCGCAGATGCCCGAGGCATCGTGCGCTGACGCGGGCAGCCTGTCTGCAAGGGGCCTCCCACGCCCAGCGACGGAACCTGAGCCCCACGCGTCGGGGGGGCCCTCGGTCGTGGCCACCCCTCGGGCCCCCCCGCACCGTCGTTGCCCGTCGCGCCGCTGCGCCCGCGGCTCCGCGGCAGGCCCGTGCGCGCGTCGACGCCGGCGCTGGCTTCGGACAGCGCGTGGGTGGCTCCACCTTTGAAGGGGCCCTGGGACACACAAATAAATACTCCAGATTTCGTAATATAAAGGGAGGGGGTCTCATTTCGGGGGGGTCTCTTCCAGGCTATCTTGGAGGGCCTGGGGGGTCTGGGGACGATGTTTTGGAGGGTTCTCCCACGGGGGAGGTCTGAAATGGCTTGTCTTGGAGGGTCCAGGCCCCCTCCCTTTTATTACGAAATCTGGAGTACCCACACACACACACAAATAGCAGGATTCCCCATCTTTTCCCGTATTTCCCCATATGTCATGGGGCATCGATGATTCATTGTGTCTGTGTGTGCTTTTCTTCCCTCCTGAACCTTGATCGCTCACGGCGTTCCGAGGGCGCAGAGCATTCGGCATCGGCCGGTGCGGGGCCACGGCGTCGGCGTGCGGCCGCGGGCGCCCGCGCGGCGGCCCCCCCGCGCCGCGCGGGCACGCAGAGGGGGGAGTCTGTCGGGTGCTGCCCTGCCGCGCGGCATCGGCGGCGCCATGTGTTGGGCAGGGACCGACCGTCCCGGCATTCCTATAGTCATACCACGACATGTTCTTAGAACCCAAAACTGTTCTAAGAACAAAAACAGTGTTCTTAGAACATAAGCCCGATGTGTTAAAACAGGACAGACTCCGCCAGACATGTTCTAAGAACATTTCGTGGAAACCACGAAAGGTTCTTAGAACATTGTTTGGTAGGGCTACAGGCACGCCAGGACGCTTCGCCACTGCTTGAATGTGGTGGTCTCCCACTGTCTGACGGGTGCCTGCAGAAAGAGGAGGCATCCGCGGTGCCATCTGATGGCGCCCCGCGTTCCATGGGGGATCTGAGAAGAGGGGCTGGCGATCAGCACTCGCCTCCCGGGCACAGTCACGGCCGGTGGCAGCAAGAGGGGCCAGCCGCAGAGAGGGCAGGGCGGGCCCTGGATACGTCCATGCCCAGGACTCGGAGGCCCACGACGACGAGGTCGAAGCCGTCCAGGCCGTCCACCTCTGGGCCTCGACGGTGGCGCGCCGGCCGACGATCTCTCGCGAATGAATCAAACTGTGTGAGTCCCTCCTCTTCGAGGCTCCTCCATTCCTGTTCCTTACAGGTCATTTCTCCCTGTCGCACCCCGGCGGCGGTCGAATTGGCGGGCCGCGCGTGTCGCTTGAGACTTCCTCAACCATTTATGATCCTGAAGCTTAGAAGTTGGCATGAGCTTCACAGATGGAGGGCGGGCCGCTTGCAAAGTGTGCATCTCGCCTGAGCGCATCGCACATTCGTCTCGAACATTTTGCAAAGGTTTCACGGGTTGAGGGCGGGTCGGTTTCAGCATGTGGCTCTCGCCTTAGCGCCGCCTAAACTCGTCTTTTCAAACATGCACGGGTTGCACGGATTGAAGGCGGGTCGTCTTCAAAATGTGGCTCTCGTCTTCGTGCCGCGCACATTAGTTCTAACGTGTGCACGAGCTTCACGGATTCAAGTCTGGCCGTTTGTTTCTTCATTGTTACTCTCGCGATAGCGCCGCGCACCCTCGTTTCTATACCAGAAACATTTGCAAGAGATGCACGGATTGAGGCCGGCCTGCTCTGAAAGCGTGGCTCTCCCCTCAGCGCCAAGCACACGCTCAAAACATGCAAGAGCTTCACGGATTGAGGGCGGTTCGTTGTCAAACTGTGGCTCTCTCGCAGTAGCGCCGCGCATTTTCTTTGCACACGGTTGCGAGAGTTCTACTTGTTCTCATGGCTAACGTACCAGAAATGGGGTTTGAGTACGATGGAGGACTTTCAGGGCGCAACAGTTATGTTGATTCGCGGAGTTGACGTCCCAGGAATGTTGATCGCCAATATGCAACAGTCATAATAACTCGTGGCGTTGGAATCCTGGAAATGGTGCTTTGGTAGGCTTCAGGATTCGCACACGGTTGCCCCCGACGGGGAACGCCCTTCAGTGGATAAGACCCCTTGTGGGGGGCTATGAAGGGGGAGCTCGGAGAAAGGGCGTATTCCACCATCGTTGATAAGCCTTGGGTTTGCACGGGTCCTCCTTCTCCTTCCCCTCCATCTCCTCAGACCCCTTGATTCGCCCATGTGCCTCGTGCACGTTGAGGCGTCGCAGGATGCCAAGTGCTGCCTGGCAGGGTCTCGATGGCCTGCTAAGGCCCCATCCAACTTATCGCCCCCTCGCATGCACTAACCCTACTCCAGATTTCGTAATAAAGGGAGGGGGGTCTCATTTCGGGGGGGGTCTCTTCCAGGCTATCTTGGAGGGCCTGGGGGGTCTGGGGACGATGTTTTGGAGGGTTCTCCCACGGGGGAGGTCTGAAATGGCTTGTCTTGAGGGTCCAGACCCCCTCCCTTTCGTTACGAAATCTGGAGTACTCCAGGGCCCCCCCGGGCGGCCAAGACGCCTCCCCGGCGCTCTCCAAGCCGTCCAGAACGCCCGAGATGGCCTCCACGACGGGATCGGCAGGCCACCAAGGCCGCCAAAGATGGTCTAGGAGGCCTCCATGACGACCTCAGATGGCTCACGATGGCCTCGAGACGGCCCACGATGCCTCCAATACAGTCGGGGCGTTGAACTCAGGAACCCTAAATAAGGAACGAGGCCCCTTTTTTCCATAAGTTAACCTTCGATTTCCTGTCGAAAACATAAGGGAAGCCTGAGGCAAGCTGTGAAACACTTAAGGAACGCGGAGCCCCTCCCCAACCAAAAGGGGTCCTTCTTCAGGGCCCCGACTGTACTCCACAAGAGGGCTCCAATAGCACCTCCAGCAAAAACCGCAGAGGAAAGCATCATTGACTTCCCATCGTTTGTTCACGGGCGTTCGCATTCTCGCCGTTTCGAGCTTTCGTCGGCCCAAGACGACCCAAGATAGCCTCCAAGATAGCCTCAAGACGGCCCATCAGGGGCCCCAAAGACGGCCCAAGAGGGCGCCAAGATGGCCCAAGAGCGGCCCGAGAGAAACCCGAGTCGGCCCAAGAAGGCGCTCAGACGGCCCTCAAGGTCCCAAAGAGATCCCCAAGGCGACCCAGGGAGCCCCCAAGATGGACTCCGAAAGCGCTCGTATGGCCCAAGAACGCCCCCAGGCGGCCCAAGGGGCCCCCAAGGGCCTCCGAGGCGCCCCCAGGCACTGCCAAGAGGCACCACGGGGCCCCAAGAGCCTCTCAAAATGCCCTCCAGACCTTCATGAACCCAGAAACGTCACACGTGACGGCCTCCCGCAACCACTCGAATATCTGGCATCTGACATGATGGACTGGCACGGTGGCGGGACTTGCCGCGGACAGCTGCATAAATTTCACCTCCCCCTCCTCTTCATTCTCCTATCCTCCTCCTCCTCCTCCTCCTCCTCCTCCTCCTCCTCCTCCTCCTCCTCCTCCTCCTCCTCCTCCTCCTCCTCCCTCCTCCTCCTCCTCCTGGTCTCTCCTTGCCTCTCCTCCTTCTCCTCTCCCCTGACCGCCTGTGACATGTATAGTGCGGCGACTGCCAGCTCGGCTCTCACTGCGAAATTCCACGAGAACATAGCAGTTAGAGGTTGTAGAAGCCATTCGGGCCTCGCAGAGGCTCGGCGAGAGGCTGGCGTCCGTGAGAACCGCCATCATGCGAGAGGGGGGGAGCACTTGCAGCGATACAATCGGACCTAGGACAGATGAACATCCTTCAAGACCGTGGGACCCTCCGCCCGCCCAAACACACAGAACATCCAAGGGTACCCCCCCAAGGATGCACAAAAACATCCAACAGACACGAAGAACATCAGGGCACCCTCCCCGAACCAACCTCGATCTTATACCCTGGTCCGACCGTATGAAGACCTCGGAGGAACCAGGGACACTCTCTGCCTACACGACGCCCTGGCGGAACGGCATGCGTTGTGGGAAAGCGCCACCAGAGGCACGGAGCGGCAAGCGGCGCGGTGGAGCCGACAGGACGAACTCGCCCGCCCTGCATATCCCCGCTTCGGCACAAGCCCGCCCCTCCCCAGGTCGCCAGGGCGCGGCGGTGGCAAGCCAGCTCGACCTCTTGCCGTCGCTCGGACGTCCATTTCCCGTACGTTTTCCAGGCTCGTGCGTGTTTTTCTTGCTCAGTGATCCCGGATGCTCCTCGATGATCCTCGCCATGATGGGCCGATTTTCCATCACCACTACTACAGGTAGGAGAGGGAGGAGGAGGAGGAGGAGGAGGAGGAGGAGGAGGAGGAGGAGGAGGCGGACCTCCCCAGCCTCCATTCTCCTCCGTCCGGAGTATGACTACCTACCAGACCACCCCAACCCAACCCGAAGACCCGAATTTGACCCGAATTTCGGGTTGGGGGGGGTACGGGTTCCATGTGTTTACTCAATGTCCCCCGAACCCCCCCCACTGGAAATGCAGGGCACATTGAGGCCTTCGGGTTGGGTTGGGGTGGTTTGGTGGGTGGCGAGAGCATGGTCGTGGTGGTGAAGCCTGGCCCAGCAACGCGCCCGAACGATGCCAAGTCCTCGGCGACGGGGCCTGGAGCCCGCGGGCGGCGAAGCCGCGGGCGGCTGCCCGGGTCGGCGGCCCAGGCGGGCGGGCGGAGCGGGGCCGTCACACGGGGCCTCTCGCAGGCGGCCCAAGAGGGCCTCCCACGGGAGCCCACAGACGGCCCACAGAGATCCCCACGGAGGGCCCCACGGAGGCGTCCAAGACGGCCAGCAGACGGCCCGAGGACCCGCAGGCCGCGCCGGCCTGCAGCTGCCTTGGGGTCCTCCTCCTCCTCCTCCTCCTCCCTCCTCCTCCTCCCCTCCTCTCCTCCTCCTCCCTCGCCTCCCTCCTCCTCCTCACCTCCTCCTCCATCATCCTCCTCCTCATCACATCACATCATCATCATCATCATCATCATCCAATCTCCTCATCATCCTCTCCTCCTATCATCCTCCTCCTCCTCCATCCCTCCTCCTCCTCCTCTCCTCCTCCTCCTCCTTCTCCTCCTTCCTCCCTCCCCTCCTACCCCCCTCCTCCTCACCCTCCTCATCCCTCCTCCTCTCTCCTCCTCCTCCTCCTCCTCCTCCTCCTCCTCCTCCTCCTCCCTCCTCCTCCTCCTCCTCCTCCTCCCGGAAGTGGTCATTAAGAGGAAGGGCCGGAGGATCGCGCCGCACTCGCCGGTGCATCGGCGATGCGTCGGCGACGTCAGCGCGGAGAAGCCTGGGCCCCACAGCGAGCCGCATCGCCGATGCGTCGGCGGGTGCGGCGCGATCCTCCGACCCCACCTGGGAGGCCCGGGTGCCTGCCCCGGGCCGAGCAGAGCTCCCGAGGTCCGGGGAGGCGGGGGGCCGGCCCAGCCTGACGTGCAGGCGGTCACCCCGCAGAGCGGGTTCATCTCCTGCACCCGCCTCGCCGCGCACTCGGCGAGGCTCTGGCCCAGGTCCTCCTCGCCGCGCGGCCGGCGGGCGCCCGCGGAGGCGAGCGCCGGGGAGGAGAGGCGAAGGGAAGAGGGATGAGACGGCGCCGAGGGCGCGCGTCCGCGGCGGAGGGGCCTGCCGCGCTGGGCCGAGCATCTGGGCTGCTCGGAGCCAGCATGGGGCCCTCGAGAGCCGCTCCAAGGAGGAGGGGAGGGAAGGGGGGAGGAGAAGCCATCTTGGCCCCAGGTCTGCTTGCTGGGCTCGGGAATGCACTGTCGCCCCGAGTTGGATCCCGAGACCGGCAGTGCCAGACCTGCAGCATGCAGCTGCTCTCACGCGCAGTGGCGAAGCACGTCTTCGGCACCTCACTGCCCTCTTTTGCTTGCGGGGGGGGTATGCAGGGTAGAAGGGGGGAGTGGGGCGGGGGGGAGCAGAGAAGGAAGCAGGAGAAAATATTAGGGAACGCCCGCTGTGCATCAGAACCATTCCTGTCCTCCTGGCCCACGTCCTCCTGGCTGAGGCCAGGAAGAGGCGCGCACGCCGAGAAGCCAGTGCTGCCGTGTGTCGCTGGCGCCCCCCGAGAGCAGGAGGGAGGAGGGATTGGGCGCGGTGTTCACGCCGCTGTTTGTAGAAAAATGAAAAACGAAGTTTGCCGGCCCAACGGGCCAGGGCGTGCTAAGATCTCCGGTAACAGGTAAACAGTATTTCTAGTTCGCGCGCGCGGGGCGGCCCCTAGGAGTCCCCGGGCGAAAAGTACCCCGGCAGGTCCCCGGGAGGGTGGGGGTCAGAGATGCCGGACCGGGCAATTTTTCGACACCCCTCACGAGGATCGTGGCCTCCGAGGGGGGGGGGCGCAATCGACTACCCCCGCCCCTGCCCCAAGAGGCCCCCGAGAGCCCCCCAAGAGGCCCTGGGGGCCCCCACGCCGCCGCCAAGGAGCCGCAAGAGACTCCCAAGAGGTCCCCAAGAGGCCCCCAAGAGGCCCTAAAGAGGGCTCCAGGGCCCGGCGGAATGAGCGAAGCGATTACATAAGTATGAACTTTTGGCGCTCCGAGCGGACTGCTTGGGTCTGCGCTGGGCCACCCTCCCTGGCGCGCGGAGCGCGCCAAGGGCGGCGCCGGATCCAGCGCGGATCCAAGAAGTCCGCGCGGAGCGCCAAAAGCTTCTGCTTCTGGCGTGCGCTCCGAAGACGCGCCCCGACGGATCCCCGCGGGACCGCAACGAGATCTCCCGGTCCGGTGGCAGCCGCCCGCCTGCGGCCGCAGCCTCGGCTGCTGGCCGGGGCCGCCGCCGTCTGCGCTCGCTCGTCGCTCGCTCGGTCGCGCGCCCCTTTTGGGTGCGCCCCGCCGCGCCCGCGGCGGGCGGGCGCTTCGGCAGGCGGAGGTGCGCTCGTGGAGCGCGAAGCGCAGAAACGCAGATCTCGGCTCCAACGAGGGCTGGGCGGCAGTACGCGAAGTGAGTCAGCTCGTCATGGAAAGCGACGCCCAGGCTCGTGCACAGACGGGTGAAGGGTGAGGGTCCTGCGCAGCTGTGGACACTGCAGCTCGGCGAGTCCACGGCGGACCCGATGATGCAGATGCAGCTGAGGGAGGACTACTTGATGGCAGCCTGACGCTCCAAAAGCTTTGACGAGGAGAGGTTGCAGCAATGGCTTGCCGCACTGCCCAGCGTGCCGAGGAGGAGGGACTGCCGCCGATAACACTGCAGCAGGCAAGGCAGGCACTCGCAAATCTCGATCCCAAGAAAACAATGGACGTCGACGCGCTACGGAGCTCGGATGTGGCCAGACTCCCCGATGAGGCTGCGCAGCAGTGGGTAGAACTGCTGCAGCAAGTCGAAGAAGCAATCATGTGTCCACGACAGGTGCGCACCACCATCCTGTCGCTGCTGCCACAACAACAGACATGCCGGAGCAGCACTGGGACACGGCGATCCAAGGCAACAGTGCTATGAGAGCAGCGCTGTGCCGCTCAAAGCTGGAAGAGAGCGCGGTGGCCATGAAATCAGCCGCGATCGAGGCGCTGGTGGACCTCGAAGAGTTCTTCGACAGCATCGATCTCATTATGATGCTGTAGATTGCGGAGAAGGAGGCTGTCCCCGCAGAGGTCGTCTCGCCAGAGGCGCAAGCCTGTTTGGCACCCTGGAGGCTCCGACGCCACGGGTGGACCAGCGGCGCTCTCTGGGCGGAGCGGTCTGTCGTGGTGGGCAGCAACCACGGGGTGAAGGTCGCCAAGCTCTTCCTGTACCCGCTGCTGCAGCGCATCAGTGTGGGAGCGCTGATGGTGGGCCTCCAGACATTCGTGAACGACGCGATCTTCAGAACGGAAGGGGCAGAGAAGGCGGCGGTGAAGCGGATGGTGGGCACCCTGCAGTAACTCGCAGCCTCCTGAGAGGAGGCGCGCCTCGCTGTCTCTGAGAAGTCTTGTCATCGTGGCCTCTGACATGGACGCCGCCAGGCAGGTGGCGAGTGAGGCCCGGGCGTCAAACTTCCCGCTCAAGGCTGCTGAGAAGGCGATCGACCTCGGCATCAGCACCACCGCGAGCAAGCGGAGGGATCAGAGCCAGCACAAGAAGCCAGCCAAGGAGGTCGGGCAACGGCTGCGGGACATCCGCTGTATGAGGAGGACGGCGCGACTTAGAAAAGCACAGCCGGCACTGGTCTATGGGCATCAGGTGCTTGTTGGAGTGGCGCCGGCAACAATGCTGCGGATCCGCCGACCCCTCGGGGTCACGGCGTGTGAGATGCTTCCCCCTCCCCAAACCCCTCCCTCGGGAGCCCGGTCCGGCCGGTTTGGAGGGTGGGGGCGGGGGTGGGGGGCAAAGGCACCGGCCGCACCCTTGGAGCCTCAGGGGGGCCCAAAACGGACCAAGAGGCCCCCCAAAAGGTCACCCGGACGGTCCAAGAGGGCTACGAGTCGCCGAGAGATCGCTCCAAGACACCCAAGATTGCCTCGAGACGGTCCCAGAGGCCCCCAAGACGCCCCAAGAGGCGTCCCAACATTCCCTCCAGAAGCAAAAATCGTCCCATACCCGAGGGAAAACGTATGTGTTTAGCACATGCGCCTCTTGGGCGTTCACGAGGCCCACAACGGCCCAAGAAGACTTCAAGATCGACCCAAGATAGCCCAGGATGCCTCCAGGAGGGCTCAGAGGGCTCCAAGACGGCCCCGGAAACCTCCAAAACAGCCCAGCGGGGCCCCAGGACGGCCCCAAGAGGAGGCCCAGAGGGGGAACCCGAATGGACATTTCGAGCACTCGGCCCCCAAAAAAACTGAGGAGGCGCCAAGAGGCCCCCAGGAGGCCCCCAGGAAGCCCCCGAGAGGCCCAAAAGAGGCCCCTAGAGGTCTCAACACGGCTCCCAAGAGGCCTCAAAAGTGCTGCCAGGAGAGTCCAAAGAAGTCCAAGAGCAGAGCCGCGATCCGCCAACCGCCCCCGACGAAATCCCAAGAAGCTGAAACCCCAAGATTCCCCAGAAATCGCGCGCGTTCCGCAAACTCAGTTTTTCACTTTTTCTGCCGCCCCAAGGGGTCGGCGGTGCGGCGTCAGCTAATGAATTTGAAGACAGGCCAGCCGAACGGTGGCAAATAAAGCCTTCGGTAGATGCCTTACAACCGTGCTAGCGCTGATCCAGGGCGAGGACGATCCAGGGAGTGGAGCGGTGGCAACTGGTGGTGGAGTGCTTGCAGTTCTGGAGGCGACATCCTGAGCATGGAAGTCGTGTGCAAAAGGCTTGGTGCATGCTGTGCCAGAAGCTGAAGGCGCTCCACCAGGCCCAGAGATGGGCCAGAGTGCGAGGTGCTATACCCCCGGTGATCTGCACGCTGATGTCGGCTGGCTGGTACCATCAGCTGGCTACGACCTCGCGCTCGGACATCGAGGAGACGCGGCATCAACGATACCGAGCTCCTGGACGAGCTCACCACCAGCATCAAGAGGGGCTGGTGGGCGAAGGCAGCTCGGCACAGCGCAGGAGGAGCCTGCTCAGGGGGCCGACGTGCAGCAGGCAAGGAAGCACCCGGCCAGGCTCCAGCGCGATGGCGAGTACGGCACCTGGGCGATGCAGCTGCAGATGGATGTCGGGAGCTTCCTGGACCAGGTCGGGGATCTTCTGACCTGGGTCAGTCCAAGCCCGGGCCAATCAGGCCTTGCAGGATCCTGCAAGATCCTCCAGGATCCTGCGACCAAGCCCGGGTCAATGCAACCCTGGCCCTGCAGGATCCTGCGAGATCCGCCGCTCTGACTGACCCCCGTTTGCATTGACCCCCGTGTCTCGGGGGCAGCCAAGAGGGGGGCGTCCAAGAGGGGGAGGCGCACATCATGGCCGGCGGCATGTGAGCGGCCCAGGAGGCGGGGGGCGGAGGCGTCATGAGATAAGAGGAGGCGCCATTCAATTTGAGGAAAGATCATCGCTCACACCACGATAATTATCCACCCCCCCGTAGTCATCACCCCCTTTTTGGCCGCCCCCGAGTCTCTTGAGCCCCGGCCAGGGTTAAGTCGGGCATGTCCCGCTACAGGAGGATTCTGCACGAAAAACAAAACATAGTCCAAAAAGAATCGAAAAAGCTTAAAAACAAAAGCAGGCAACATCGTAAAAAATCGTCCCCAGACTATTAGTTGACTATTTTGAATACTCCTCCTGTATCGGGAGCGGCCAAGAGGGGGTAAGAGGGGGGTGTCCAAGAGGGGGGGGTGCAAATCTTGACCAGCGGCATGTGCGCGGCCCAGCGGGGGGGCCAGGGACGTAATGAAATTACAAGAGGCGCCATGCAATCTGGGGAAATATCATGGCCCACGCCATGATAACTATCCACCCCCCCGTAATCATCACCCCCTTTTTGACCGCCCCCGAGCCTCTTGAGCCCCGACCAGGGTTAAGTCGGGCATGTCCTGTTACAGCGGGATTCTGCACGAAAAATGAAAAATAGTCAAACAAAAAGTTAAAAAGCGTAAACAAAAGCAAACAACATCGTAAAAACTCGCCCCCAGTCTGTATTTTTACTTGTTTTGATATTCCTCCTGTAGGTCGGGAGCGGCCAAAAGGGGGCATCCAAGAGGGGGGAGGGTGCAAAGCATGACCGGCGGCATGTGCGCGGCCCAGCGGGGGGGGCCTGGGACGTAATGAGATAAGAAGAGGCGGCATTGGATCTGGGCAAATATCCTGGCCCGCGCCATGATACCCACCCCTCGCCATCGCTCGGACGTCCATTTCCTGTGTTCTTTTTGGTTTCGTGCGTGTTTTTTTTGCCCAATGATCAAGGAAGCTCCTCGATGGCCCTCGCCGAAAGAAAAATGCACACGTCCGAGCGATGCCAAGACCCCCCCGTAGTCACCACCCCCCTCCTTTCCGCCCCCGACTCCAGAGGGACGGGCCCGACTCACGACCAGGGCCGGGCAGAGGGAGGCCCGCCTCGGAGGTGGCCACCCTCCGCCCGCGCCGCGGGGCCGGCGGAGGAGCGACGCTGCCGCGCCGCGTGCAGCAGGGCCCGTGCACGCGTGGGCCACGGCTATGTCGGGCCTGTCCATCTACAGGGGCATTGTCGACGAAAAACAAAAGAAATACCCCAAAAATATTCCAAGAAGGTCAAAAAATACTCCCAAAATAGTCCCCAGACTATGTTTGGACTACTTTCTGGCTATGTTTGGGGTATTTTTTATTTCTCATCGAAAATCCCCCTGTAGGGGGACAGGCCCGACTTCAGGCCACAGGGAGACTGCGAGCGCACGCAGCAGCTGCTGGACAGGGCGGTGGACGGAGCTGCAGAGGTGCCGTGTCCAGGGGAACGCAGAACGACGTGAACGTAACAACTCGGAGGTCGGCGCGGACTGCTCGGATCCGCGCTGGAGCCCCCTGGCGGCGCCTCCGGGGCCGCCCCTGGCGCGCTCCGCGCGCTGGGGGGGGAGGGGGGGTCCAGCGCCGATCCAAGGAATCCGCGAGGACCTCCGAGTGGTTATGTTTATGTCGTTCTTCGTTCCCCATAATGTCTGTGGCTGCGCGGTGTCCCTCCAGCCAGGTGGGCGAGGTGGACGTACTCGAAAAGCCGCCGATCGCTCAAGGTTGAACAATCCCCGCGGTGTCAGAACCCCAGGCCGGGGTCGACATGACACGAACCTGCCGTACTGGAGTCGAGACACACTAGTTCGGCTACTCCAGATTTCGTAATAAAAGGAAGGGGGTCTGGACCCTCCAGGACAAGCCATTTCAGACCTCCCCCGTGGGAGAACCCTCCAAAACATCGTCCCCAGACCCCCCAGGCCCTCCAAGATAGCCTGGAAAAGACCCCCCCGAAATGAGACCCCCCTCCCTTTATTACGAAATCTGGAGTACCCGGACGGCCCAGGCGAGGTCGAGAGGGAGGCGGCCGACCGGGACGAGGCGGCAGTGGCTGTGTCGAGACCCCAGACGGTTGCGTGGGCGTCATTCGGCGACGGCTCGAGGGGCGTGCAGAGAGAGACGGCCTGCGCCTCGGGCAGTGCAGGGTCGGCGTGATGATTCTCCTCCTCCTCCTCCTCCTCCTCCTCCTCCTCCTCCTCCTCCTCCTCCTCTTCCTCCTCCTCCTCCTCCTCCTCCTCCGGGCTCGCTGGAGGCGCCTGCAGTGCTACGCTCAGCGGCAAGCCTTGCGGGAGGGCTCTCTGGGCCCCAGCAGACCGTCCCGCGCGCGGAACGCCTGGCAATCATCATCTCGCGCTGCGCCGCACCTGCGGGAGCTTGAGGTACCACATCGACCACGTGCCGCTGGTGCACGGCTCGCGTGAGAGGCGCCAGTTGCACCCCTCGAGCAAGAGCGATAACATGTGGTGGAATGTCAAGCGCATGTTGCGTGATCGCGGCGAGGATAATATTGAGTTGCGAGCCGTGGATAGCCATTAGAAGAAGCTAACAACGTGAGCAGAGACAACGCAATAGTGTGTGCTGATGAGTTTGCGAGCCGTGCCGCTGTCAAAGTCTTCGAGCACGCGACCTCGAAGCCAGAAGTCTCTCTGATCGACGCCGTTGCAAATCTGGATCCCATGGAGGCATCTCCTCTGGCGTCGGGGGTGGAACGGCAGGGAAAGCAGGCGCAGAGCAAGCAAGCGAGGCTCCTACCGGCCTTCCCCTCCCCACCTGGATCTCGTCGGAACCCGATTGAACATGCCTGTGAGCAATATGTCCTGTCGAATGCCCTTGCGGGTCTCACCCGCTCGCCGTGCGCTCCGAGGCAGCCTGCAGCTGTCGGTGCAGTAGGCACCAGTCGTAACGACGGTGGCCGGCGGGTCACTGTGGGGGGAAAGATGCTCGACCTGTCGCACGCTCTCATTCTTGTTGATAGTATGAGCCTATACAGTCGGGGCGTTGACCTAAGGAACCCTAAATCAGGAACGAGGCTCCTTGTTTCCATAAGTTAACCTTCGATTTCCTGTCGAAAACATAAGGGAAACCCGAGGCAAGCTGTGAAACACTGAAGGAACGCGGAGCCACTCCCCAACCAGAAGGGTTCCTTCTTCAGGGCCCCGACTGTATGTGTGCACGACCTGTGGCTGCTATGCCAGTCTCATGGCGACGACACTGGATGTCAAGTGTCGCCCGAGGACTGCGAAGGAGGACCTGAAGTTGCGCAGGCTCTGCCTGGGCAAGTGAGTGGCCCCACCTCAAGGGAATGCCCAAGGCGGCGAGGGAAGGGTGCAGGGCCCGATCCAGTGCTGCTGCCAGGCCCGAGGGGATTCGTGAGGGCAGCGAACAGCATAAGCGTCACCAGCAGCAGCAGCAGCAGCAGCAGGCCGCATAGGTGGTCATAGCACGTCTGGCGCTTCTCAACATACTCCCAAGGTGCTCCCTACCCGCCCCGCCTCCTGCTGCTCCTCCTCCTCCTCCTCCTCCTCCTCCTCCTCCTCCTCCTCCTCCTCCTCCTCCTCCTCCTCCTCCTCCTCCTCCACGGGCTCCCCGTCCCGTTACTTGTCCGTCCCTCCCTCCCTCTCTCCGCGCTCCCCTCCCCGCATTTCCTCCGCCTCCTCCGGCCCTCCGCCGTGCCCCAGCGGGAGGACACGCGGCCACGACCGCACGACCCTGCGGGCCTGCCGCCGTCCAGGGCTCGCCTGGCCCAAGGCGCGCAACAATGAAGGCGCCCTGGGACACACACACACACACACAAAAAAAAAAAAAAAAAAAAAATGATTCCCCATACTTTCTTAGATCTTCTGGGTTTGCACCTTCCCCCACATCCCATAGTTTCACATATTTCCTGGGGATCGACGATCAATTGTGTCTGTGTGTTTTTTCCCCTCCTGAAGCAAGAGGAAGGCGGGCGCCGCACCGCTCCTTCCGCAGGAAGTAGTTAAAACCGACGTCGGCGGCGCTGACCTTGCCCCATCCCCAGCCGGTCGGGGGTCTACTGACCCAGGTCAATGCAAGCCCGGGTCGGTCAGGCCTGGCAAGATCGTGCACGATCTTGCAGAACAAGTCCTGCGCGCAAGCCTGGGCCAGCGCAACCCTGGTTCTGCAAGATCTGGCGCTCTGGCTGGAGCCCCGTTCGCTTTTTTAACCACCGTCTCGAGGCTCCCGAGCCGGGCGGGCACTGTGCGGGCCAGGGCCTGCCCAACTGCCCTGGGCATCCGCGCTGCGAGGGGCACGCTGCAAGGTCTGACCCCACAGCCGTGGAGCTCAGGAGAACAAGGGGACGAACGGGGGGGAAGAAGGGGGGGGGGAGAGGGAAGGAGGGGGGAAGAGGGAGGAAGGGAGAAGGACGGGGGGGACGAGGGGGGGAGAGGGAAGGGGCGGAAGGGGGGGAAAGAGGGGAAGGGGGGGGGGACGGGGGGGGACGAGGGGGGATCTGGAAGCACAGCCTGCCTGCATGTCCAGACATTCTCGGAGGTCTGCGCGGATTCCCTGCATCGCCGCCACCACCCCTTCCTATCACAATTATTATACGCCCCCCTCCCCCACCCGAGCGGCGACAGACCCAGGGCCGTGCGGCCCCCGCCCGCCACGCCTGTCAACAGAAACGATGCAAAGTGCACGTCGCGGCAAAACCTCGGGTCGTGCTCGGGGGGCGCCGCGAGCGCTTCCACTGTAGGCGACGAGCCCAGGGGGGAAATGAGAAGGAGAAGGCCTTCTCAGAAGGCCGCGGGACTTCTTAGAAGTCCGGGGGGCTTCTGAGACGTTTCCTTGGCCTATTTCGAACACAGACAGAACTTCTCAGAAGCCCTCTAAGAAGTCCAGAAACTTCTCAGAAGACTCGGAAGTCCCGCCCCTTCTCATTTCCCCCCCGCGCCCGCCGCCGACACTGGTTCTTCGAACGAGACGGCGGGGACGGCAGCAGACGGTCTGCGGTTTGCAGGGCCACCGCCCAAGATAAATAACAGATGCATAGTGCACGTCGCTGCGAAGTCCGGATCGCGCGCGTGCACCCCGCGACCACGCTGAATTGGTTTTGATAGGGACGGCGGTGGTGCTGGCAGACTGCCTGCTGTACGCAGGCAGGCCCACCAGACATGGATGGCCACTCCGCCACGATTGACAGCGGTGTTCGACAAGGACGGTGGGGACGACACGGTTCCCGATATGCGCGGGCCACACCTGGCACACTCTGCGCGTGTCCCGAACGTGGCACACCCGGCACGGCTGGAGCATGCGGACACCTGGCGCACGTGGAACACGTGGCGCATCAAGCGCACCAGGCGTGCCTGGCACGCTTGGCGCACCTCGCCCCAACGTCGCGCACCTGAGGTCTACCTGGTTCCCCCAGTAGCTGCCCATCCAAAGACGAACGCCTACTATGCTGAGATTCGGGTACTACTTACGTGTGGGGAGGGCGGGTGGAATTTAGCCAAACAGCTTGCGCCTGGGAGGGGTATCTCCATCAATGCTCCTTAATAGATGTACAACCCCTGCCCCACCCGACCGGCGACAAACCCGGGACCATGCGGGCACCCCCCCAGCCGTCCTTACCATTAGGTCGGGCGGGTCCCCCTGCAGGCGGATTGTGGACGAGGAAACAAAAAATCCAACAAATATTCAGAACATATGCATCAATTATCAAAATACCGTCCCCAGACTATTTTGTGACCTCTTCTGAATATTCCACCTGTAGAGGGACAGGCCGACTGAACCTTACCAAAAACAATACAACATACACGCTGCACCAACATCTGGACTGCGTGCGCTGACGCCCCGCGATCACTCCGCCCTGGTGTTTGACGTGGACGGCGGGGGGTGCCAGCAGAGTGCTTGCCGTGTGCAGTGCCACCCCCGCCCCCGCCGTCCCTGGCAGAAGAAACACAGGATGCACGTTGCACCAAAATCTGGCACATGCGCGGACGCCCCACGATCACTCTGCGTTGGTTTGAGGCGGCGTCGGCGGAGGACCCGACATGTTGCCTGCCGTGTGCAATGCCAGCACCCCCCGACAACCGACCGTGGTAATAGAAAACACAAGCTGCACTTTGCACAGCATCCGGATCGTGCGCAGAGGCCACGTGATCACCCTGCATTGGTCTTCGAGGACGGCGGGGGGCCAGCATGGATCATGCACACAAACCTGGATCGTGCACGGCGGGGGCTGCCCGCTGGGTGCAGGCCCATCACCCCCTGTCAACACGAAATTCAAGAGCTCGCTTTGCCAGGGACGGCGGGGGCAGGGGGCCGGGCGGCATACTGCCTCTGCGGTGTGCACGCCGACTGCCCCTTCTCAAACAGAGGTGCAGAGTGACTGCGGACGCACGCCCGCGCCAAAGAAAAAACACATACACACTGCTTGCAAACCCGCCGTCACTGTGCATTGGTTGTTGACAGGGATGCTGGCGCGGGGCGGTCGCCATACTGCCCAATGTGGCGCACCTGGTCGCACGTGGTGCGCGTGGCGCACCTCGCACGTGCGCCGCACCTCGCGGGCATCGCGCACCTGGCTGGCGTCTGCTTTGGTCCCCGATGGTTGTCGATGGCGGCCCCTGCCTGTGCTGAGACTCGGGTGATACTTCACTAGTGCGAGGGCGGGTGGAAGTGAGCGACACAGCTTGCGGTTTGGGGTAGCTTGATCAGTGCTCCGAAGCAACATGCAACCCCCTCCCCCACCCGACCGGCGACAAACACGGGACCATGAACCCCCCGCACCATCTCTCACTTTACAAAAATACGCTCCACGACCACTTTGCATTGGTGGGGGACCCGCATATGACCTGCTTTGTGCAATTCCTTCTCCCACCACCCCTGTCAAATGACAATGCTAGCTGCACTTTGGGGCAACATCTTGAGCAACGCTCGGAAGCCCCGCGAGCTCCTTATATGATGTTTCGACAGGGGCGGCGGAGATGGCAGCATACGGTCTGCGGTTTGCATAGCCACAATCCCTGTTAATCAACACATATAAACTGCACTCCGCGGCTCAGTCTAGATCGTGGGCGGGCACCCAGCAGTCACTCTGCATGCGGTTTGCGACGCGCACCTGGCACCTGGCTTCAGTGTTGGTTCCCCCAGTAGCTGTCCATCCAAAGACGGCCGCTGACTATGCTGAGATTCGGGTACTACTTATGTGCTCGGAGGGCGGGTGGGATTGAGCCAAACAGTTTGCGTCTAGGGGAGGTGTGTTGACCCCTCCCCCCATCCCTTCCCCCATGGATCGGGAGGGGGTGCCCCGCGATCGATTGGAGCGTCCAAGAAGGCCATAGCGAAAAGGCAAAAATCATTATTGTCCTAAGGTGTTTGGTCCAATGTTGGCCTTTAGGGCGGAAGGTTCAATGTGTATCCCATTTCTTCGTTGATCGAACTCCTCCAAGACCGCCAAGCCCCCAAAATGCCCCAAGAGGACTCCGCGAAAATCTCAACTGACATCCGAGGAGACTCCGAAATGCATCAGACAAACCTCTGGCTATTCTGCTCGCCCTTCTCCTCCTCCGTTTCCTGATCCTCCTGTTCCTCCTCCTACTCCTACTCCTACTTCTTCTCCTCCTCCTCCTCCCTTCTCCGTCACCCCTCCCACCTCCTCCTCCTCCTCCTCCTCCTCATCGTCCTCCGATTCATCGTCCATTCCCCCCTTGGGGTATGACGGCTTCCACAGCCAGCTATCCCACTGCACGTTCCTCAACCTCCCTGAACAGGGCAACTCGCCTGGACATAATTTCTGGATGGGGTGGTGGGGCTACGCGAAGCGTCTAGACTCCTCCCACAGAACCAACAAGCGCCTCGAACATCACACGCCGATATACGCACAAAAGACGTTCACTCGCGTCGCCGAATTCGTGACGACAGTAGTGTCACCAAGCTCTTGTCGACATTCGTGTCTCCATTAGTTTGGCGGCGCGCACAGGGGGGTATGGGGGGGGGGAAGGCTTCTTAGAAGCACCCCTGCTTCTTAGAAGGCGCGGGCCTTCTAAGAAGCAGCCTCCTTCTAAGAAGCCCTCCCCCCTCCCCCTACCCCCCTCTGCGCGCCGCCAATTAGTGCCACCACAAGTGCTGCCATTGGCGTCGCCATCAGCGAGCGGGGAGCCAGCAGTGCAGGCCGCAAGGGGCCGCGGGGGCACCGACACAAACCAGCATCACGAGTGCCCTCTGGCCATCGCTCGGACGTCCATTCCCTGTGTTTTTGTTCGGTTTCGTGCGTGGTTTTTTCGCGAAATGATCAAGGATGCTCCTCGATGGTCCTCGCGGAAAGAAAAATGCACACGTCCGAGCGATGCCAAGCCCTTGGCCTAGGTAGCCGAACTAGTGTGTCTCGACTCCCGTACGGCAGGTTCGTGTCGTGCCGACCCCGGCCTTGGGTTCTGACACCGCGGGGAGTGTTCAACCTTGAACGGTCGGCGGCTTTTCGAGCGCCCGGTCGTGCCGTACAGGCCGATTCTGGGACACTGGCGGCGTGCGTTCAGCCTGGAACGCCCGTGGCGGGGTCGCCGCCGGTCGACAAGACGCGAACCTGGCGTACCTGGTCGCGGCCAGGAGGTTTTTGAAGGAGGGCTGGGATCGCGTCAACATTCGTGTCGCCATCAACCTCGTCAGTGACAGAGGTCTGTGTCGCCATTGGTGTCGGCACTGGCGGACTTTAGTGTCGACGTTTGTGCCGCCAGAAAGCCGCAGGGGAGGGACAGGGAGGGTGGGGACGAGTTGTATTACCCACCGAGAGCCTGGGGGGGGGCAATCATGAAAGATCTCTCTCGGTTCTATGTGCTGAAACGTACTGCAGTGTGAAAATATTTCACCAGAGACATGCGTGAAACAATTCCATGTGCACTGGCGCGCTGGATTGAGCAACAGATTCAAGTGGCCAAAGATATCACGCCTCCACATGCCCAAACCTCTCTGCACCGCACTGCCCGCATTGGAGACTGTCCACCCAAGCCTTGCGGTGGTCCCTGATCACTAGTGACACGCCGGCCAGAACCAAGTTCTTGCATGCCTCGCGGCGGCACTGCTCCGACCCCGCGCCCTCTTGTAGACTGCACTGCGCCACACACATCCGCTGTGCCTGCTGCTGCAATCTACTGCATTTTGCTTTCAGCAACCTCTTCATCTGAACCTCTGGGAGCTCATCGCTCATGACTGGCAACCAGCAGGCACAGCCACCATGCTACTCGTCGGCGTCTACTTCGAGCGCTGCCCACATACACGCGAGAGGTGCCTCTCCGGAGAGCAGCACGGGTCGGCAGGAGGCGCTTTCGTGGTAGAAGTGCAAGGCAAGAGACCCGGCGGCGCGCCCCTGGGGGTAGGGCAGGGGGGTGCGGGCGTTCAAAGGCTCAGAAGGCCTTCCGGCCTTCTGCGAAGCCTTCTGTGCTTTCTCTGAGGACAGAGACGGCTTCTCAGAAGGCCAAATGGCTTCTGAGAAGCCCCGCCGCCTTCTGTCGGGTCGGGCATGTCCTTCTGCAGGCGGGTTTGAGACAATAAAAACGGCACATTAGCCAACACATGCTCCAACATAGTCAAGCAACTCATGGAAAACATCGACCCCACTCTATTTTTTAGAACTGTTTTGGAACGTTCCTTCTGTAGGAGGGACACGCCCGGCTGAAGCCTTCTGAAAGGCGTGCCCCCTCTGCCTCTCCCCCTGGGCTCACCGCCGAGGAGTTGGGGTGCGCAAGTGCGTTGCTCGGGCCGCGTGCACGGCGACGCCTCAGGTCGGGCGTGTCCCCCACAGGCGGATTTGGGCAGAGAAATTCAACACTTTCAAAACATACTCAAAACATACTCAAAACATAGGCCAGAATACTCAAACACTCATCCCCATACTATGTTCTTGACTATGTTTGCAGGTTCCCCCTGTAGAGGGACACGCCCGACTTAGGCGACGCCTTTTCCCCAGGGTCCCTGCCCGAGGAGGCCACAAGACGTCCTCCCAGAATGCGTGGCACGAGGGCCCCCAAACAATGGTTCCAAGGCTGTACCTGGGTCTCAAGTCGCCAAGCCCACCAAGACGTTCCCAGCAGCCTTCAGGGACGCCAAAACGAGTGCTCAGAAGTTCCCAGAAGGCATCCACGATGTCACTCGAGACTTCTCCGAGGGGCGAAACACATTTCAAACAACATGTTGCTCAAAAGAAACAAACTGTCTCCAAACGCCCCCTTGGGGTCCAAGCAATCCCAATGACTAGCCCAAGACGGATCTGGAAGAGCCCATCGGCACCTTCCTTCAAACGATCGGCCAAAGACGGCCCCAGGACCCTTCTGGACGGACCCAAGACCCACCTGAACGCTCCGAGGACCTTCCGAGACGGCCCGAATACTTCAAAAGAGCTCCGAAGAGGACCCTGAGTGGCTTCGAAAAGGCACCGGGGAGGCTCCCAAAAAGGTTCTCCATGAGCTCAAAAAAAATATCCATGGAGTCTGAAAGAAAATATGTGCGCAGTGACCTTCTATACTCGTTCGATACATGCCTACGCACATGACGAGGCACAAAGTCGGCCTTCGAAGTGGAACTGGCTAGGCTGGACGCTGCTATCAAAATTGCCGAGAGCTTGCGAAGGCACGTGACCGCAACAATCCGAATAAGGGCAACCCAAACCCACCACAACTGCTACCAGCGCCTCCCAGACAGGTATCTGCTCAGTAGGCGTGGACTCAGACCGATGCAACAAGTAAGCAGTCTCCTGTGCCGACTCCTCGCGCCATCTCGCGCGAAAGCTGCCCTTTCTCATGCCACCCTCCAGAGAAATGCCGAACTACCCGATACCCATCGGTCGGAAGAAGTAGGTAGAAACATGAAGTAGGAAGGCGTTGAAAATAGACTGGGTACCCACCCGCCCCCTAAGAAGGACGGAAGAGGTGAAGCCACTCGATCATTAAAGTAGGAAGGCGCTCAAAGTAGACTGGAATCTGGGAATCCAAAGGTACCTACTTTCAACGACCGATGGGCAATGGGGGTGCACCTTTCGTGCACCTTCGGGGCCCCAAGGGGGGCCCCTTGAGGCGCCTCCTTTCAACCCTCGATCCCCCCGATGCATCGCCTCCTCGTCACGAAACGCCCATACAGAGGCCTCGTAGATGGGGTCCGAGTAGATGGGGTCGAAGGATCGCGCCGTATCGCCGATGCATCGCCGATGTATTGGCGATGCATCGGCGATGCATCGGCGACGGCGGCGACGCATCCGCGACGTCGGCGTGGGGAACATCAGGCTCCACATCTGGCCGCACTGCCGAAACAACGGCGATGCGGCGCGATCCTCCGGCCCCATCTACTCGGACCCCACCTGGGAGGCCTGGAGCCCAACGTACCTGGACGAGCCCGCCCCCCATCCCCTGTTTGGACACCCGAGATGGGTACCGAAAGAATGGGTACAATGCCCAACAACGAATGCTGTCCCAAACCAACAGCGGCCGCTGTTGGGCAGGCGGCCTCCTGTCTCGAATGGACACAGGCCGCGGCGGCGTGGACAGCGAGTCCTGTTCAAAATGAACCGGATCCGCTGTTGGGCTTTGTACCCATTCTTTCCGTACCCATGTCGGGCGTCCAGACCCTGGGCTCCGCAGACCCCCTGAGTAGGGAGCCCACAAAGGACGTACGCGCCCAGCTATGTACATGAACACGGCCCCTTGACCCGTGAGACCTCGCGCGCGATACGAACATTCGCGCAATGCGAACTCGCGAAACCAGCGTGGATTCATGTACATGTACGTCCTTCTTTCGCTCCTGACTGAGGCCCCCCCGCCCCCCGGGGGACGCCGGCCCCGGCCCGGGCCTCGACCCAAACCAAACAGCCGGCGATGTGGCTTGCTCAGGCCGCGGCCCCACGGGTCTCTGGAGCCGCTCCTCGGCCCCACGGGCCCCAAAAACCAGAGGTCAAAAGTCCACCCCTCTAATAGGCACCCCGACACGCGAAGTCGTTGGGCAAGCGCGCCCGAAGGAGGAGTCGAACGGGGCAAGGCTGTTTCGTAGACGCCCAGGGCCGTTTAGTAGACTCCAACATCGTCGGGTCCGGGTGGTTTTTCCTCCCTTGAACAACGGCCCCACTGACCAGAATGTATAAACAACAAAAAAACGCAGCGGTTGAGACAAAAAACTTCGGACGTCTGAGGATGACACCACGGAACCCCCCCTGGCCGGGAGCCCGCTTGTATCATTCGTGGTAGCACTCGTGATCGGCCGAGCAGAGCACCCCCCTCCTCCTCCCCATCCTGGGTCACGTCACGACTCGCGCCTGCGCAGTGTGGGGACAATTTCAGACCTCCCCCGTGGGAGAACCCTCCCAAACATCGTCCCCAGACCACCCAGGCCCTCCAAGATAGCCTGGAAGAGACCCCTCCCCGAAATGAGACCCCCCTCCCTTTTATTACGAAATCTGGAGTAACATGCGTGCCCTGGCTCTTGCACGACCAGATATAGACAAATAAATGACGGCATGAACATACACTTTTGGCGCTCCGCGCGGATTCCTTGGATATGCTTATGCCGCTCTTTCGTTTTCGAAGGCAGCGAGGGGGCCAGGGTGAGCGAGTTGTCGGGGGCAAGGGGGGCGAACGACGAAAACAGAGGGGTCCGGGGCCAGGGTGCGCGACGGGGCCAGGGCTCCGGGGTTAGTAGTCGCGCATGTCCCCCTACATGTGGATTCGGGGCGAAACATAAAACATACACCAAAGATGACCCCAAAATGCTGGTCATTAAATCGTCCCCAGACTGTTTTTCTGTTCAAGTATGTTTGACTATTCCTCCTGCAGGGGGACAGGCCCGACTTAAACTCTGAGGCCCGGGGCAGGCCAGGGAGCGGGGGGGGCAGGCCACACGGGAGCGAACGATCGACGGAGACACGTGGCCCCGGGGGCAGGAGGAGCGAGGAGGGCCAGGGGTGGGGGCCAGGCCCCCGGGGCCAGCGGGGGCGAGGGGGCTGGAGAGGGGGGCAGGCCACGAGCGAACGATCGACGGAGACACGTGGCCCCGGGGGCAGGAGGAGCGAGGAGGGCCAGGGGTGGGGGCCAGGCCCCCGGGGCCAGCGGGGGCGAGGGGGCCAGGGGGGCTGGGGAGGGGGGGGGCAGGCCACCAGCGAGCGGACGAACGAGCCACAAAAAGGACAAGTGGCGCGCATGTCCTGGCCCCTCCTGCGCGAGGGAGGGCGGGGGCCGGGCGAGGCGGGGCGAGGCGCGAGGGGGGGGGGTCCTGGGGCAGGCCTGGCGTCTCCTCCTGGGGCCATCGTGACCATCACGAGGAGGCAGGAGAGAAGATTGCGCAACACGAGCGCGGCTGCGACTGCACGACCCGACCCGCCCAAACGAGCCTGCAGCCTCTGCCATTCGGCTCGTTGGGCGCTCCCCTCGGCTTCTATGCTGGGGAGCAGTAGAAATACCCCTCATCCTTTTGGAGGGGGCCTAAGTTAGGAGGGTCAGAAGCATTAGGGATGGCAATTGCTGCAGATGCTCCAGACGAAACCACCCACAAGCTTAGGGGTCACCCTACAAACCGATGACCTAAGTTGGGCCACGAGCTGTTCTGTGTTTTCAGCGATAGGGGCTGCGTTATGCCTAATCATATTATTCTGGGGCCTCCGCCCTGCTTCCTCCCCCGCGGCCGCCCTCTCCTTTGCCCTCTGTCTTAGTGTGCCCCTAGCCCGAGAGGCCCGCCGACTCCACCCTGGAGCGCTGCAGACACAAACTGTTCTCCTTATGGGGGTCCCGAAAGACCGCTCGGTAAAGGACCGGGCGGTGACCTCGGGGCCCCGGAACCCAGGGGGTGCTGGAGGTGCCCCCCTGGCCCAAGGCACACCTCTTCGTTCACTCTTACAGCACCCGGGGGGGACCCTCCTGTCAGGAGCGAAAGAAGGACGTACATGTACATGAATCCACGCTGGTTTCGAGGGTTCGCATTGCGCGAGAGTTCGTATCGCGCGGCAGGTCTCGCGGGTCGAGGGGCCGTGTTCATGTACATAGCTGGGCGCGTACGTCCTTTGTGTGCTCCCTATCCTGGGCCTGGTGGGGCGGC